CTTACAGACGGCTCAAGTGAGAGCTTTCGGCGACATCACGAATGCGGCAACAGACGGGGACTTTACAAAACTCGTCGAGGTAGAAGCCTCAGGCGAGATGGACGAACTCAAAAAGAAGATCAACCAGATGGTCTACAATTTGAGGGACAGTATTCAACGTAATACCCAGGCCAGGGAAGCCGCCGAACTGGCCAATAAGACCAAGTCCGAGTTTTTGGCGAACATGTCCCACGAAATACGCACACCCATGAACGGCATTATCGGCATGACACAACTTACTCTCGATACTGACCTGACACAGTATCAGAGAGAAATGCTCAACATTGTCAACTCCCTGGCCAACAGCTTACTGACTATCATTGACGACATTTTGGATCTGTCCAAGATCGAAGCTAGGCGTATGGTCATCGAAGAGATTCCTTATACGTTGCGTGGCACCGTCTTCAATGCGCTCAAGACTCTTGCCGTCAAGGCAAACGAGAAGTTCCTGGATCTTACGTATCGTGTTGACCATTCTGTACCTGACCACGTCGTCGGAGACTCCTTCAGGTTGCGCCAGATTATTCTTAACCTTGTTGGCAACGCTATCAAGTTCACCGAGCATGGTGAAGTCAGTCTTACCATCCAGAAGGCCTCTTCAGTACAGTGCAGCACCGAAGAGTACGCTATCGAGTTTGTCGTTTCCGACACTGGTATCGGTATCCCGGCGGACAAGCTGGATCTCATCTTCGACACTTTCCAGCAGGCCGATGGTTCAATGACTCGCAAGTTTGGCGGTACTGGTCTCGGTCTCTCCATTTCCAAGCGTCTCGTCAACCTCATGGGTGGTGACGTGTGGGTGAAGAGTGAGTATGGTAAGGGTAGCAAGTTCTTCTTCACCTGCGTGGTCCGCTTGGCCAACGACGATATCTCGTTGATCGCCAAGCAGCTCAACCCTTACAAGAGTCACCAGGTCCTGTTCATCGACAAGGGCCGCACCGGACATGGACCGGAGATCGCCAAGATGCTCCACGGCTTGGGCCTCGTTCCCATTGTCGTCGACTCGGAGAGGAATCCTGCGCTCGAGAAGGCCAGAGCTGCCGGCCAGGCGCCCTACGACGTCATCATTGTGGACTCGATCGAGGATGCAAGGCGCTTGCGGTCTGTTGACGACTTTAAGTACCTTCCCATCGTATTGCTAGCACCAGTCGTTCACGTCTCGCTAAAGTCTTGCCTTGACTTGGGTATCACATCGTACATGACGACGCCTTGTCAACTCATTGACCTCGGTAACGGCATGGTCCCTGCTCTTGAAAATAGGGCCACGCCGTCGTTGGCGGACAACACCAAATCTTTCGAGATCCTGCTTGCCGAAGACAACACGGTCAACCAGAGGCTCGCGGTCAAGATTCTGGAGAAGTATCACCACGTCGTCACCGTTGTTGGAAACGGTGAAGAAGCTGTTGAGGCCGTCAAGAGGAAAAAGTTCGATGTCATTCTTATGGACGTCCAGATGCCTATTATGGTGAGTCAAATCTGTTTTTCCAACCAAGAAACCGATGCTAACAATTCTATAGGGCGGTTTCGAAGCTACGGCCAAGATTCGCGAGTACGAGCGCAGCCTCGGAAGCCAGCGCACACCCATCATCGCCCTCACGGCGCACGCCATGATGGGTGACAGGGAAAAGTGTATCCAGGCACAGATGGACGAGTATCTCTCCAAGCCGCTGCAGCAGAACCATCTAATCCAGACCATTCTCAAGTGTGCGACGCTCGGCGGGCAACTACTCGAGAAGAACCGGGAGCGCGAGCTGACTCGTGCTGCCGATGCCGTCACAGGCGGCCGCCGCGACAACGGCATGTACTCTGCCAGCCAAGCCGCGCAGCACGCTGCGCTCCGCCCACCCCTCGCCACCAGGGGCCTCACTGCCGCCGACAGCCTTGTCTCCGGCCTGGAGAGCCCATCCATCGTGACGGCGGATAAGGAGGATCCTCTGAGCAGGGCACGTGCAAGCCTCTCCGAACCCAACATCCATAAAGCAAGCTAACCGTGTGGATGGGTCAATGTGACTTTTATTGGAGGATTTTAGCTGGTCATACGAGCACATACTACTCTTTGATCAACATCGCGTGCGATACACCAAGCAACCAACGGCCACGCCAATTCAACGTGGAAGAAGGTTTTTATGAGATGGGATGGAAGGAAAAAGAAACGAGGAGAGAAAGGGAGGAAGAAAGGATGGAAAGTGGATGGAGTCCGTGTTGTCTTTATCGTGTTGTGTGTTTTCTCTGTCCGGTACCCGGGTTCAAATCAGGTTTTTAAGGTCCAAAGGCGGTTTCTGTTATCAACAAGGCATTGAAATTATTACTTGCGGCTGGTTTGCTAGTTTTCAATTTTTGTATGTCTTGTTCCTCTGTCTCGTGTCTCTCTCGTATTTACTGGTTCGACTGTTGCTTTGCCATCGCTGCTAGTCTCGTCTTTGCCGGGGCTTGTTTGCTGCTGCTGCTGCTGCTGCTGCTGCCGCTCGTCTGTCTTTCTGCTGATCTGGCTTTCTGGCTTTTTTGGTTGTTGTCGTCTGGCTTGCTTGACTTTGATGGCTAAGAAATGGTTATCGACTTCCTGTACCTTACTTGGCCAGACCAAGGGGGACTTGTTGGGTTGCTGCTACGTCTCTCTATGGACTGACTGGAGTGGCTTCTCTCTTCTTAACGCTATTGCATGATACCTATACTACACTACCACTACTACTAATAAATCAGGAGTACAATGAACATGTATATCCTAGCACGTCATCCGAGTACATAACCGGGTGCTATGCTCGTTTGTTTGTTTGTTTGTTTGTTTGTTTGTTTCTTGCGCCTCACTCTTCACTTGAATAGGATAGGAAGGAAGGAAGTAATGACACACACTGCCATGTTATATCCATCTACCAGTTGAGAATTTAAAAACACAGACACCTCTCTCTCTCTCTCTCTACCTACATTTCATAGTAAGTAGTATTATGTCAAGTTTGTTCATACTTCCCCCTCGCCCCCATCCCGTCGTTCCCCTTTTTATATCAACAAACTAAATTATCTCCCTTGAACACACACTGACTGGGTACTGGGTACTGTGGGTACTGGATACTTGGATGCTGGGTAACCTACTACATATAAAACTGACTTGACCGCGCCGCTTGACCGCCCCTGGTCGAAGGACACTAGAGTATAATTAAGATGTAATCACTACCTTGCTTGCGCGTGTTACGTCCAGCACACATTAATTTCACACCGCGAACCACTTGTATGTAGCATCCGTGTGCATCATTGAGGCTCTTTGTAAAGAAGAAATCCCAACGTTTTCTTTTCTTCTGGGGGTCATATATCTACCTAAAGAAAGGCCCTTGCTTGCTTGCTTGCTATGAATCGAACCCAACTTCATCTTTCATCGAAGCGGAAA